TATCATTGATAAGTATTTGTCCTTCTTTAGAGGCTCTTATTGTGGTCTGAGGGTCCTGGGTTCGATCCCTGATGGGGTAATGGGTGGGATTTGTCGGACAGTCTCAGACAAGAACGAAACAGATGTCCAGGACTCCCTCGTTTTCAATGGTTCCCTAACTGAAGTCAGTTTGCAATCACTCTCGAAAACAATCAAATCGCTGCAAGCTAACACTTGGTAATCAAAAGTGTAAGACGACTGCGTAATAGTCAACGACACAATGGAAGAAAGGGTTTAAAATTGCACAAGGTAAAGATGAGAGACAAGGTATCTACTTGACGAGTACGAAAGTGAGAAGAAATTAAAAACCTATCGAAGTACACTAAAGGGACACATATGATTTATCATAATAGATAGGATGCAGATTTGTAGCTCAGGTGGGTGATATCGGTGTAGTTGTGTTCTCGGAGCTGAATGGTCCTCATTGTCTCCCTCAACAACATCTTCAAAGAATACTTCAATTTGATAATAATGAATTGATTACTAAACATAGATGCAAACAATTAGGAAACAGTTTCAGACCATGGTAGAACAGACTTTCCTGTACAGACAGTTCGGGGTTATGCCAACGAATCGCTAGCATCTTCGCCATAATTGATTATATCACCCCCCCCAGCCCCACTGTTGAATAACAGACTAGTAAACGTTTCTAGTAAATAGGATTCTATGGCCCCTGAAGACGACTTCGACGATAATGGGAATTTCCTTCATTGAATTGTTTTTTATTATCTTCAAGAAAAAGAAATTCTTAACCACACCTAACAGACAAACACACTGCAGACTTTTCTAAGTAAAACAGTTTATTTGGGTGGTCGACGTACTTAAAACATCAGCAATACAATTTGAAATAATAACAATAATAATAAAAAGTGTCTACTCTATGAAGTACTACTATTATAATGGGGGATCACTGTTACTTATTTTTTAGTCTTCTGCAACATAATAAATTTAAGGCATCATTTTCAGCGGAAAACCTGTAAGCTACAGAAAATCAATGAAATCTAGAACCAGTAGAAAAAGTACATAAATTGTCTTGATTTTATAGAAAAGGGCATTCATTTTTCCTATACAGGAATGTGCAGCTGTGCGGTACAAACTAGTCTGACATGATTTATTTAAACTTGTAATTCCTTGTTGATATTAGATAGACCGAATGTACACACACACACCTCCCACTGAGCCAGGATGTCCCCACAGATACACGGACGCAACACACACAAAAATTTTATTTCAGAAACAAAATCTATCATACATCAACTAATCTTAAACAGAACGAAACACACTTCGTAGATTTCAGTGCAAACCACCACTAAAGTTTTAAAAATCAGTCTGGTTAACGATTTGTGTGAATAACACTAGGGTATACTTTAGAGAACATATCAACCATTTCAGAAATGATATTTAACTTTGCAGAAGAAACTGATGAACTTTGATTGATCAGCATGTTGCTTAAAAGTTAATTTAATTATTCAAGGGTTGGCTGGCAGAGATTTGATTTCATTGGTTAGAGGATATCATCATAAACTGACATCGGTTAGATTACCACTGGAAAACCTAAGACTACTGGGCAGCTAGTTGCCTTGTACAGGTCCCGGACTCTTCAGAGGTACGTACACCCAACCTGTTGAACCAGTGGGGTACAAGAGGTCGGGTGTGAGCACAAATACTAGCCGATGACATTTGCTAGCGGTCGCACCATATCATGAATTGGCAGAAGTTGGAATCCATGGACCATTGGATCGAGTCCCGGTGGCTCCACGGTATACGAGATCACCTTGTAAAAAGGGTAGGTGCGTACCGCTGAAGAGTCCGGAACCTGTACAAAGCAACTGGCTGCCCAGTATTCTTAGGTTTTCCAATGGTCCTATAACCGACGTCTGTTCATGATGAAATCCTGAATTCATTCGGTCACTTAACTAATAAAACGTGCATAGAAATCTACATAAAAACCAAGCCCTTCGTCCATAGGACATCATTATAACAAGTTAACAGTAGAAATTTCAAGGCTACTACTGACTTCCATACATATTTATTTAGGAAAGGTTGCTACAGTCGCAAATAAGATGATACATTTTATTAAAAATTCAAAAGCTGATCACTCATTGAACACCAAAATCCGCTCTGTTAACCGACACTCCTTTTTCTAATATCGATTCTTTATGAATGACTAAATGGAATTCGTTGCATAGTATGGCGTGATAAATCTATCCTTCTGTATTTCGAATAGCATAGCTAAATTCCCCAGAAATAGCAATTTGAGTGAATAGCGATGGATGTTATTCATAAAACTATAGACTTACAAAAACTACAAACACTGAAAGTCAACGGGCAATCGTGGAGCGAGCTAGTGAAGACAGGTAGAGAACGAGGCGAAACGGAAATGGGCTTCTGAATCCCTATGTTCCATTTTGTTTTATTCCTTCACGTTCTCAGTGGAACATAGGGCTTCAGGTTAGTGGCTTGAAGTTTCTGTAGCAGTGTTTAGTTTTACAGGATGGGGTTACTAGCCTCATGCCCAATCTTTCCTCTTCACCAGCTTTATATCTGGCTTAGTGAGGTAAAGGAGTGCGCCGGCCAGGGATCGAACCGCAGACCATATGCATAGTCGGCGAGCGTCCTAACCGCTATGCCACCGACGCACCCTATGTTCCATAGGGAACCATAATTCAAATGACTATTAATAAATACTCACATATATTTTGACTTTTATTACTGTTCAGATGTTGACTAGCTGGATAAAATCAATCATTATCCTCAAAAGCAGAGAGGTACAGCACGCAGAATCCAACTAGATGACTTGAAAATAAGCATTTCTTTCTGAACAAAGAAAGATTATTATTTATTACAATAACGGATCAATATAATAATATAGTTTTTGCATATGACATTTAAAGATGTAATTGTTCGTTTTTTTTCCTGGGTTCTTTATATTACCAAAATTAAATAGATCTTCTTTTTACAGTTAACCGTTTGATATTTATTCAAAATAAGATCAAAAATAACAAGTGTATATATATATATATATAAAATCCACATAACTAATGTTACTTAACTAAAAATTATTAGTGGAGTTGAAGTGTTTCTTTCACAGGAAATATTGATCATTAATAAATGATATTCAGCTTCAGATGAATATGAGATTATTTGAAAGCTTTCCCTATGGAAAGATAAGGAGAAAACTATCTATACTCTGTGTGATTTAAACAACCCTTATGCTCTTTTACAACAATGTGAATAGCACTAAATGAAGTCTACCTTCTGAATTCTATAAATTCTGCAAAACAGAAACTGTATAAGCGAGTTCATTGAAGATGAATTGTGTAGTGTGTTTCTTTTGTACAAAAAGAACACATCGGCTACCTGAAACACCATTCTTAAGTAATTGTTGTAGGCAAGTATCTTAACTGAAACCATCAAATTATGAATTCGTTCAAAGAGTTTGAATGATACTACAATCAACAAAAAAAACAACCTTTCTCAGGGGTATATAAATGGAACGAAATTAGAGAGCTAGTTTTACAATAGCTCAGGTTTACATTCGAGTACGGTGTTCTGAATTCATATATACACACCTATAATAATTGGTGCCTCACCAGTTACGTTTACGTGACTACTACCACTACCTGTGTAGGGTAAAACACAAGACAATTAATTCAATAATCTTGCGTTGGAAGCGTTCTTCTCAACAGCGGGGAAACTGTTCCAAAGCCGTCATAGTATTTACACCGAGTATTGTTACTTATAATTCTTTACACCGACTATTGGGAGTCTAACAACGTTCAAAATAACAGCCGTAGACTTCTTGAATTGGCTTATATTTCATGGTCTGTATATCCTGGGCTTTCATGTAACTTCATAATCAAAATAATACAGCAGGCATACGTGCACAGTGACTCAGCAGTCATCCACTGACTTTATTCCACAGTTTTAAACACTTATCATGACCAGAACTTCCGTGATGCTTCTTAGTTTCCAACAGGGATTGGTGTGTTCTCAAAACATTCAGCTTACAATAAATAACTGAACACTGTAAAAAGTAAAAGATTTTTTTTCGAATTAACGCTAAGTTTCCAGCTGAACTTTATAATTACTCAACTAAGTGTAACTTCAATACTCCTTACAGATATGATTATTTACCGATTACAAACTACGTGTAATATACTGCAAAAACCCTCTCTAAATGAATGACATAATGTGCACTACGAGTTGTCATCAGTTGGAGAACTGTTGCAAAACGTGGACGGCTGTTTCGTCCTATTTTGGGACTTTTCGCAGTACGCAACCAGCAGGATTCCAACCCGGGAGACGTTCCAGTTACAGTTCCGCACTAGAACTCCAGGTAACTTTCTGTATAGAGCCAGAGTCACTAGTGAGTGTCACATTAATTATCAAGTGTTGGTTTGCAGGGGGATTTGACTGACCACCAGTCGAAATCAGTTGGAGAACCATTGGAAAACCTAAGAAAATTAACAGCTGTCCCAGGCTTTCCAATAGTTCTCTAACTGATGTCAACTTATGACCGAACGTTTAACCAATTAAATCACTGAACACCAACACTTGATTGTATCATTTAGGCAAAAAGTCGTCGAATAAATGAATAAACATATTATCAGATGACAAATTTTACCTAAGAAGGTGCATCACTCTAGTCAAATACTTCTTATTTACGGACTGCTAACCAACCGGTGAATGACACTTTTTTATATCCAGATAAAACAATAGCTGTGGTTTATCATCTCACCAGCGCTATTACATGCTTGGAAATAGCACTTATAAAAACCTACCTAACCTATACACAACACGTCAATCTTCAACGCTTCTCTCTTATCCACAAATTCCATTATAACAACAACACACTTAACGAGTTAAGCTGGAAGTGCACACACGCTATATATGCATTCTGCTAGAAGATGTAGAAGACGACGACGTCGAAAAAAGAACAATAAATAAATAAATATTAACTCATTTATGCAAAAATAAGATACACATGTATATATTTTGTGTGTGTGTGTTTGTGTGAGTTAAAAGAAGTAAAAACAAACAAACAAAGAAAGAAAGAAATGCTTAGTTAAACAAATATACATCAGTTCTGAACAAATGTACACTCATTCACTCTCACACACCCACACAAAACATACACAGGGGAATATGGAAGGAGAATAAAGAGGAGAAACAATATGAGGTGCAGAAGAGAGATGCAAACCGTCACATTATCATCAACTAAATACAGAAATGTGCAGGAAATGCAGTAGACTAAAACAAAAACAAAAAAGAAAAACAGTGAGTCCAGGCAAAAAAACAAACAAACGAATTCTACACCGAAAGCCAAGAACAAAGAATTAGGAAGTGGGGTAAAGGAAAGAGAAGAATAAGCAGTAAAATAAAATATTGGCTGTGTTAAATAAAACACAGAAAATAACTTTTGAAAGTGTTTTACTTTTTGCCCTAAAAGAGATAAATTAGCATGATTATCAAAAAAAAAAAATTATGTGATTAATTAATTCATCACTCACCACTTCTCTCTCTTTTCCGAATTGTGTACAAAAGGAATTTAAAATCAAACTAATAAAATGTAAAAAAGAAATTTAGATTTATACAAAAACTATATATATATATATATATATATATATCCCGAAAGAAAATAATATGCAGCAAAGGATGTATATGCGTCTAAGTGAGTGGAATAAGACAAGTTAGGGTAGAAAGCCTTTAGATTAGAAAAAAAACAACAATACAAGAAACGCAGGAGTACATGGATAATGATGATAGTAATTTGCCAATATATTACAAATATAATTGCAAATGTTTAAGTATAAATTACACTGAGATCATGTTAAAATTTGATACGGAGTAGTAATATTGATTTTTGATTCGACTATGCAAACACACACTATTTTCTCCTTTTTCTCAACTAAATCAAAACAAACCAACAAAGCTAATCGAAATTATCGAAAGAGCAAAAAACAAAAAAAAACACAAAATAACCCAAGAAAGAAAATACTAAATGATTATTACAAAAGATATGCTGATAACTGCCTTCTACTACTATACAATAAGATGATTATGTAGGCATCTATCTATCTCTATACAGGTGTCTAGATCAAGTTTAATTCAAAATTCAAAAAGATGTCAGTGATTGATTGACAAGGAATTGGGGGGAGAGGGAAGAAAACTATAGGCTAAATAAAATATATGGCGCTTGATTGGGAGAATATACACAGTTACAGCAGCAGCCACCAGTGACAGGGATAATGCTCCGAATTCAGGGAAAGAATAGGTAGTAAGTCGACGACATATAGAACAGCATACGCATACACACATGTAGGTGTGTTGTAAAATAAAACCAAAAGCAAAGAAAAATAAAAAGAAGGTATGCGCGCTTCACTCATGGCTTTTAGAAAAGAGAAGAAAAAAAAACAACTAAATAAATCTATACAAAATGCAAATGATTTCAAATGACAAAGTAAACACTTTCTTCTTCATCATTTAAGTACTACAATGTACAAGTTATATATATATAAGTTGATAGCGAATCAAGAAACTTTAGACGTCGTGTTACTTTTTCATTTGACTGTTTGGATGTGTGGATGACGAGAAGCTATGACTAGAACTCTGATGACGACGAATCCAATCGCTATTATCTTTATTATTACTATTACTCAAGTTACGGTTATCACCATCAGAAGATCCCAGAGGAGTACAAGTAGTGTTTTTGGTGTCTGGAGAACAATGTCTATATTGTTGAGGATGTTGAATGTTTACTTTCATAGTTTTAGTCGAGGAAACTGAACCGGCAAGAGGTAAGTGTGCAGATTTCGAGACTGAGCTTGCATTCTCTGGTGAACTCTGATACATTGGACTGGAATAAGACGGGAATACTGTTGGTGTAGTCTTCTTTTTGAACTGATGATCAGATTTAGAGACTTGTGATGATAATGATGATGAGGTAGAATAAGAATTTGACCGGTAAATATTACTTGGAGCGGGTGACTGTGTATTTTGCCGACTAGCACCACCATAATAGTTACTTATACGTGATTTCATTGGAATTTCATTATCTGGTAAATAAGTTAGTGTATTTGATTGCATGGATTCACCTTGTCTATGAGATTTAAGTGGCATATTTGCTGAACACTTATCAGGGATACTAGATTGTGGTTGACTGATCACACTAGAATAAGGTGGTGGTGGGATATTTTCAACAGGACCTTCAAAAGCAACTTCTCCAGCTTGTTTGTATGCTGCTTGGCGACTCGTTGCTGTTACAGCAGCCAACAATGTACACGCTATTTCTGGATTTAAGATGAATTCTTTGCTTTTGCTAGTTCGATAACTTTTTACTGGTGTACGACTATTACACGAAACAGGAGATATAATAGAGCTATATAAACTTTCACAGATCTCATTAGCTGACATATTTGGATTCAAAAGTTTACTCATTCTTATAAAATCAACTGAAGATACAAGACTAAGTGGTAGATTTTGATGTGAAAAATCAGGTTTCACTGAATTAACAGATTTAGGTGATGATGGATTTGATGGCATATTTGTACTTTCCATATTATTACAACTGATACGACTACCACTACCGCTACTTGTTGAACCATGTCCTGTATTAGACGGTGTAGCATGATTTAAACTCACAGTTGAATTCGAATGAGAAGGTTCTTCTGAAATAGTACTTAGACTAGGAGGTCTGGATCGAACCGACGCAGCGGCTGCGGCAGCGACAACAACTGCAGCCGCTGCTGCAGTCGCAGCGGCATCTGATGAACAGGCGTGATCAGGCGTAGAATCCATCCATAGAGAGTGATGACTGGGATATTTTAGACTGTGATGAACAATATCTTTGGTCGACTCTCTCAACATTGAATAGGCAGAATCTTTACAGAATGGTTCTGTTTTACCAGATGATTTAGCATTCTGATGTGATTCGTCAGCAGGATTCACATCTGATTGACTAAAGGAACTGGATGAACGTGATGAACTAGGCGATGACAAATTTGGTGACATATTAGAAGATGAACTTGAAAAGGATAATTGTAAGTCATTCATCATATTCACCTGATGGTCTTCATTGTTGACATTCGCTCTAGAAGAAGCAGACTTCAGATATCGATGAATACGTTTGTCTCCAGCCGAAAAATTATCTGTTTTCACTGACGATTTGTACGGAATTGAATTGCTTGATACACGCCGTCCGCCAATTATGAACTAATCTCAAACAAAATTTTAAAAAACAACTCTAATTAATATAACTTCATACAGGAACTTTCTTATAATTTATAACCACCTCTACTGAGATAAAAATATTTGTACATTGTCTAACTATATTCTCAATTTAACAGAAAATACTTCAATACATTTCTTATATCTACGGTGCGTCATTTATTTCTTACAACCAAGTTGTTTGAGGAACTCAGATATTAAGTAGGTACCAGATTCTTAAATAATACCAACCCTTGGCCAGGTTATACCGATGTCATATTTATGGGTTAATTATTTTCAACAAAAATTCACTTGAATCACTTGGTCTGTATAGAATGAGATGAGTAAAACAAAGCATATCTACACTTCCTTTACCTATCAAACAGTCTTTATGTTACATGGTAATCATAATAACCAACCCAGTTTTATCTTTTTATGCATACTCTCTCCCTCTCCCTCTCTTTATAAAAATACAAAGTATTTCGGTGAGTTACAGTTTGAAAAAAATTTCTCCTTTGATTGTTTTTAAGATAAAATAGAACTTAGAACACACAAATTGATTAGAACAGTGACAACCCGAATCGCTATAAAAGAGGCCGATATATATATATATATATGTTGTGTGGATAAATTAAACTAGTGACAGTATTAGAAATCATATTGCGGCACACTATGTAGAGAAAGAAACGAAATATATAGAACTACAAAACTGCACTTGATTTCAACGTCCAAGTTATTGCTTAAGCTAGGCAATGATATTTTCTTTTTATAGACTCCGTAATTAGATTTCAGCCTGTAAACAGATGACTAAGAGATGATGAAAAAAAAAAATACAAAGCCAATGAATATTATGTTTAGCAATTTCAATATTTCTTGCATCTATTTTGAAGTAAAGCATTGATGCTAAAGGTGGGTCATCAAAGTGAAACAGCGATTATTAAGACGGTGGTCGTAGCATTCAGATCAAGCGTTTTAACGAAGAGATCATGATACTAGAAAGCTACAAATATATATCCGTTGGGGCTATCACCAAATCATCTTGACAATAGGGCTATTACTAGACATCTCCTTGATACGGGTTATGAGGTGGAAATCGTAAATTCCTTTAAAATTATCAATGGACAAAAGAGCTCAATTCTTCTCAAGTTCGCCAAAGCAGTCTCTATCCTGAAACCCGATTTGAGTGTTCAGAAAGAAGCAGTTATCAGTCTTTCCTTGCCCTGCTACCTGGATGTCTTTATTCTCTATTTCATTCGATTGTGTAATCACTGGCTTTAACCTCACCTCCTTTGATGTAGTGTAATTTTGCTTGTCTTTTGTTTCTATGATTTGAGTTGAACTCAGTATATTGTCACCCAATTTATTAGTCACTCATCCTCTTACGCATCTCTCGTCTTTATTACAAAACGCCTTTACTATGATATGCATACATTTACTTTGTTTAAACTTGAAGTCCCTGTGTAAAACTATGTAAGCGTAATATTCTGAGCACTATTCACTAAGCTCGAAATTCCTGTCAACTGACAACATGTGAAATTCGCAAGTGTGTTAGAACTTTTCTATATATAAACTTAATAATTTATGTGATGTGAAGTCAACGAAGTAAATGATGGTACCATATCACTCCGCAAAAACTGTTGTCCTTGCTTTATTCACCTTTTTCATGTAGTGAATTCACCGGTGGTACCATGTCGACGTTAAGTGCTCAGCTCATGATTTAATAGAGTTCCACACGAAGATTTGTGAGCTAAGAATGATTGAGGTGTAAACTGCCTATGTTAAAGTAAGATAGCATCAATGTTTATCTAGATATAAAATGTTGGGTTCATTGTTCAGAATAGAATAAGATATGATCGCACCGATAAAGTGATAAAGAGGCATACAAAATCATCAATTAACATTGAATACCATGTCAGGATATGTTAATATGCTAATTCCAATCACCAAGATGTACATCGGTTACACAGCAGTAAAATGCTCGCCAACCACGCATATGGGTCTGGGGTTCAATTGCTGGCCACCGATGCACTCCTTCACCTTACTAAGCCAGTAATACGACTGGTAAAGAGGAAAGGTTGAGGGCATGAGGCTAGCAACCCCATCCCGTAAAAATAAACACCACTGCTACCGAAACTTCAAGTCTCTAGCTTGAAGCCCTATTTTCCATGGGGAACGTAAAGGAATAGAAAAAAATCACCAAGATGACAGAAATAAGTTATATACGGAATTTATGTTATAAATAGTAAAAGAAAAAATAACTATGACGCCAGTAATCGAAACATTTAATTGGCTAGGAATCCTTATCACCTAACTAACTATTTCATGTTTACTAATACTCCATACTATTCCGTGTAAAAATATTCTGATAAGTTTTTATATTACATTGTTAAAAAGTTTGGCAAACGATATCGACGAAGTAATGTAATATTCTTTACTCCAATTATTGAATTATATATATATATATATATATATATATATATATATATATATATATATAAACTTCGAATTCGCTTTCAATTTATGTTAGTAGATGCATAGAATCAATATGCACTAGACTTTCAGCTACAGTCTCAGGCAGAAACTGTATTTCGCTTATTTTAACCTGTCCAAAGGGTTGTATTAGAGCCGTTACACACTAGATGTGAAGCAAAAGTGGATTGTTAAACTGTAACATATATTTTTTACGATGCTCGCTCGACTACGTCGTTGATTGATATATCAGAAGCTTATATCAATGACAAAAGCGACTCTAGAAGCAGTTTCTAGAGCCTTAAAAAAGATATGTTCACAAGTGGGAATACTTTTTTTCTCCCTTAACACTAATGTGAAATGGTATACTTTTTAATAGGATTTGTGCTGAACTAGTCAATTAGATGCTACTGTGATGAGTACTACTTATAATGAGATATGAGTAGCATAATAGCAAACGGATTCAGAAAAGTAACAATATATTTTGGACAGTAGAAAAAGGCAATCGAAGACGAGAATTGTACGAAGAACGTTACAAACACTGTGCAGGATCCACGAAGCTATCGAACAATTTGCAAATGATGTGCATTTAAAGCATAGCACATTTGCAACTATAACGAACGGAGACATGAACCATAAAAACATAAAGGTGCAAAACGGTACTTTAAGCGGAGGTGGTTATTTTAAACTTTCGATGTTGTGTTTGTAAAGAGATTGAATATAACTGACCTGCTTCAGTAAGATAAAAAAGCAATAATAAACCAATTTAGGAGCCACCTCAAAACATCAAATACAACGGGTGTGTGATCTGAGTTTTCTGCACCCTTTCCCTAGAGGGTACAAACCTGTTGCCGCTTGATTTAAACACGATTACCCTACAGTTATATTATCAACTTGGCAACAAACTGTAATGCGGCATCAAAGAAGAAAAAAATCACAACAACATGATAATACTTCAGCTGTTGGCAAGTAATAATATGGCTTAGATAAAAAAAATATTAAATATCCGCTTAGGAATCAATATCTACAATGAAGGTGTATATCTCTATCTGTATTTATTTACTGTAAAGTTAGAATGTTGTACATTAACACGCTTAGTGTTGTTGTTTTTTTGTTTTTCTTATTATATGAAACATCACCTGTTATACACATGTATTTATTGTAAACGCACAGGTAGGTGATGTTGCTGATGACGATGATGAACAAGAAGTAGTAGAAAAACATGTGAGGTTGGGTATGGAAAGTAGTTCAAAATAAGTTATTTTATATTGCGAATCCTTTCTTATTTTCCCCTTTTCTTTCTTAACAGCAAAAATGGACAGACTAACTTTATAGGAGTTAGTGATGTCTATATGTATATACGCACAGAAAATAAACCAAGTGGCAACAAAATAAGCTGTTTTCACCATATTCTACGATCCATAATAATAATAATAATAATAATAATAATGGAATGACATAGGAAATGCATAACATTAGACAATGAAATAGAAAGTACGCTTTAAGAAAATAAAGTACTACTCGCATGGTTGGTTCAGTGTGATTTGTAAAGAGGAAAAATATAGTCACACAAACAGTATTCGGATTGCGTAACAGGGAAGGGATTGAATCGGAAAGAAGACAACATCCTACAATTCTGTTCTGTTGAATATGTTCACTACTACTACTACTGAAATGCCTGTGTTTCATCTAAGCATCATCTTTTTCGCTGGTGAGCGTAAAGAACGCAGTAATTTTGGCTACCATGGCCAATTTTCATACAAATTTCTTAGATGTGGAAGCGACAGAGTGGGATGAAGACTTATCGCATCACACAGATTGCGCATAGGATTAGCAGATGCCAATAAACACAGTATTATTATTATTATATAATGCTTCTGAGCTGCTAACTTGGAAATTCAGCTTGAGCGTACTTTTTCAACTGACAGAGCAAAGAAAGACAGATGAACTACGATGCCTTGAAATGCTTTGTTGAAGTAGAATTCGCTTTTTCTACAAAAATCACAGTTGTGAAATACTGACAGGGAGAGGGAGAGTTTAATCAAAATATCATTTGATATATCCTACCGGTGATTAAGTAATACCAGTCAACATGCACACACAAAGGGTCGCACTGGCGCGCACAACAACGCCAATACACGCATATACACAATGACACAGAATAAAACAGAAACCGCTTGTATAAACAGTCGTACATTGAAAGCACACTTTTGGGAAAATATTATTGATTGCTGTTTGTTTCCTTTAGGCAGAAAAAATAATAAATAACAATAAGTCCTAATTTCATTCTATTTTTTTTCAAACGAAAATAACGGCAAACAAAATCAACACTACACAGAGTCATTGTTATAAACTAGTAGAAAAACAAAAAATAATAAATTCAATGATTAAAAAACACAACACTTACACGATTATAAAGCGGACCAATAAGGTAGCATATAGTCGGTAGTAAGCACACAGCATTGAATAAGCAAATTAGGCTGACAATCACGATGAGACGAAAAAAGTAACTGAAATAGAAGTATTTTGTTTAAAAATTAGTAAGTAGGACAATGAATGAAAGTAACTGACGAGAGAAAAACAGTAAACTATTACTGCTAAACTGGAAATTCTTATTTCATTTGACAATAAAGTTGGCGGTAAATTCGTGTAACCGTGTAAACACTTCTACTTCGAGGTCAACAGTTAGCTTAAGGCACGTAGGAAGATGCAGACTTCCTGGTTGGGGCCAACGGGACGGTAAAAACCAATGGTTGGAAACAATTGGTGACATGGCTCAAAATCGTTCTCAGTGGCGCAGATGCATCCACTCCTTGTGACTTATGATTTCCAATTAAACTGTTTTGTTCTTCGTTATTACTATTCCTTTGTCTCACACCTCTGTTTATTGTCTCTAATATGTATTTCTTCTACTTTCTCCTCTTGCTTTGTGTGCTACATGGAGTGTGGCGACTTGAACTGCCGCACATCGGTGCAAAGTTCTATGTCGAAAACCGACCGACGAACCGACCGGTCATGTTTTCGGTGTGCATTTAAACTTGGATGATAATGACTGCATGTTCAAAATGAAGTAGTTAAAGGAACACTTTTAAATTGTGATTTTCAAAATTAAAGAAACTAAACTACTAAACCTATCTTTGAATAACAGTTCTCAGAGTATTTCATAGCCTATTCACGTGATTTTCTTAAGATGCCTATAAGCCAGTATGAAAATAATTTTGTCGAGAGAAATAAAAGGCCAGCGAACAAAGGTACTGAAGAACTGTCAATACTGTCGACCATTCGCAAATGAAAATAACTGCCATTTTCCAGTTCCTACTGTCAATTTTAATATCATTAAAGATAACAAACATTTTTGGTATTTTATGATGCACTTATCGACCTCTGAAGTTTATAGACAAAGAAATTTAAGTTTGTTGTGATTTTCTCAGTAGACCTGCTACATATAATTCAAAGAAGAGAATCAAAAAGTCTGCGCAAAACGATCCATGTGGTGTTTTATCTCACAAACTATAAGTAATCATTAGTTCCGGAAAATACTAGAACGAAAAGCAAGACACCGTTTTACATGTATCATGAAAATAGAGCTTCTAGATAGTTCAGAAACTTTGGGCCCCCTTTCACGGAAAGCACTTCCAACAGGTTATTGTAAACTTCCAACAAAAGCTATCACCACTCCATACTGAAGATCAGATGGCCAGAAATGTTTCGTCCTAGTTTACGACTCTACGTCAGTACGCATCCACTAAGGTCCTATGGGCCACTGGATCGAGTCCCAGTGGCTTAACGGTCTGCCGGCTTGCCTAAAAAGCGAAACGTCCTGGGTTCGAGTTTAGGTGGGTGCGCACCATGAAGAGTCCCAAACTGGGACGAAACAGCCGTCTAATACTTCCAGATTTTCCAATGGTTCTCTAACCGATGTCAGTTCATGATGAAATCCTGTAACCAATCGAATCAAATCCCTACAGACAATCACTTTAATATGCAGAAGAAAATGAACTTGGATTGTACACACACGGTGAGAAGTTGAATGACATCACTCTCTAGACTCTTACATATATAACCCGAGTGAGAAACAATGATTTAGGTGTCCAAAGTCGACGAAAAGAAGAAGATCGTGTGAAGGCAAAATGAAAACTTATGGGGGATCCTGGATCCAGTTAAAAAGGGTCGCGGAGAACAGAGTGAAATGGAGATGCGCTGCTGAAGCCCTATGCTCCACTCACAAACCAAGAGAATAATAATAAATTAAAACAGAGTTTTATATATCTTAGGAACTAATGAAAACCTAAATAGTAATCAATAGATTGAAAAAACACAGTTTAGATTTAAAGCAAAAACTGACAATGAAATACAGCTTTAGAATTGAAAAGAAGTTATTTCAAACCACAGTTATCTATTAGACAATAATAATAATAAATACTGAAATAAATCAGTGCAGACTTACTCAGCGATAAACTGTACACGAGCTGCAACAAGTAAAGATAGTGCTAGTAACAGTCCAACGGAAGCATGGAAGGCCGGAGTAAAATGATTACTTAATATACACACAATTTGAGCTCTAACAAGTTGACGACGTTTCGAGAGGTTAATGCGGTCTTCGTGCACAAATGAAGATGACTTCGACAATATTATCTGTTTAGGATCAATTTTCAGTCTTTCATTACGTGCACAAAACTGAGCTGAATGAGAAGGACATCTATTCGACAAATTCGATTGACAAAGGCAGGTTTTACGAGTTGGTCGACTTGAAAATGCATCCAAGCTTAAATGGGAAACAGGCCATAATCCAAGAAAATTTGCTGAAATTCTAGCCCCCAAACCACCAGACAACAGTAGCAGACAAGCAGAAATAGGATTCAAGGCTAAATTTAAAACAATCAAACCTAAAATAGCAGAACAAGCGCCGCCAACAGCACCAATACCAACTAAAAGTAAGGCAGTAACAGGTGAAGAAAATAAAATCAATGCAGTGATAGTGATCACAGCACAAAATATGCCGAAAGCAATTGCTGTTTCTCGAACTATGAACATGTAGTGTTCAAGAAAAGTAAATGGTACACCTGTAGGAAAGACTGGAACACCTTGAACTGTTGCAGTTTCTGTAATATGTCGGACTCGCTAGAAGATAATTAAAAAAGATGGGAAAAAAAAATAAACAAAATGAGTCATGATACTAAAATATTGATTTGTAAGGTGTGAATAGCAGTCAACAAATCAACGTTGCTTTCCATATAAATGTCAATTTAACATAATCACAATATGATCAAAATGATATATGATCAAATTTACTAATTGTACTTGTTCATTGTGAAGTACTTCAATTCACACCATTATTCATTCATTCAATGTGTACATACTGATATATTCGTTCCACCAGGACCAGGTATGTACTATAGATGGCAAGTAGATTGGTGTGAATAGACTCAGTATGAAATTGGTATTGACATATGAATACGCTTGCAAGATATCCACCATTGACGAAAATCATCTGGAAATTTTGTCTTAATCTGAATGACACCTAGTTATAAGCATCCTCCATTTCAATAGGTGTAGAACTTGGGCTCTGCATCAATGTGTGAGCTATTTCAAATCAACCTTATCTAATCCTCCATTTCTTACTACTATACAGCTCATTATAGTAAGCGCATAAATATTAGTCTTTCACTGGATCCAATTAGGTAGAGATAGACGAACGACTTGAACTAAAAAGCATAGTATAAACACTTTTAATTTGATACCTAACAGTTAGTTAACATGATAAAAGCATAGCACATGCACATACATTACGCAAATTAACGTTAAGTTGAAAATAGACTAATCACCTGAACTAAATCCAACTGTGAATCCATTTCGCTGACACCTACTGCATAAAAACTTGTTTGAACAAATTCAATTGGTTCAGCTGGAGGTAATGCATGTAGGTCTGAAGGACGTCCAGGACCAGTAAGACGACCTACATGCACTACACTAGGTTCTGGATAAATTACACAAGGCAATGATGAGAAGTTCAAAGCATCTTTGGATCGCCATACACGCAAAAGTGTATAAAAAGCTGGTGGATCGATTATACCGCCATGAACTATTCGACCAGTGTTAATCTGTATGAAGAATTAAACAATAATATCATTAGAAGTATGAACCAGTCAACAGAAATATATTAAAAATGTATTTATGTATGTATGTATTATTATACATGTATTATGTATTATACTTACCCTACTTAATTCAGGTCCACGGTCAGTTTGAACAATTAAACGTAGACCAAGAACACCAAGTTCACTTGCATTAGCATTCCAATGTCCACTATCCATAATGTAGCCTTTTTCTCGGTCTATGTCGAATGCAGTTTGCACCTCCTCCAGCCAATTACGCATTGCATTCAACCAAACATCACGTCCTGATAACATAACACCTGAAATATCGGTCAAGCAGTCATACATCCAACGAAGACGACGTTGTTGCATAGGAAAGTCTATTCCGCGTCCAACAGTAGCCAGGCTTACACGAGATCTAGCAGATGTACCGCTAAGGGTTGACGGAGCAGTATATTGAAACACTGGCTGACTTGGCACTGGCCTAGATCCAGGGAGATCTGAACCTCGTGCAATTATGTGAAAATTGCTTAGACCAAAAGCTTTTCCAGCTGTTTTAATAAATCCGTATTCAATAGTATCTGAAGGGGTTAAACTTGACCAATCCAAACCTAAGCGTAATCGAAAGGTGGCACAAAGCACAGCTGCACTAAATAAACCACAACCCAGTAGACATACACATAGTTGTACAACCCAATGACTAGTAATCAGAAGCGCGAAATGTCTAGCAAATCGTACAAGTAGTGGAGAAGGAAAGATTTTTGTTGAGTCTACACCTGGTTCAGATTTATTCACATTTTTCTGTTGATTCCTTTGAATTGACACTGGTGTATCATTTTCATAGGCAGCACAATCATTTTCACACTGAAAAAAAATAATAAAAGTTTTGAACCTAGAATATCTTATTTGAAATCAAGAAATACATTCAAAACAAAGGCATTTTTAACTTTTACTGATGATAAGTAGTACTGATAAACCTGAAAGAGCCAGACAGACACTCTGCATATATAGTTGAATTCACATAAAGATTACAAACGAAACTACCTCTAATGAGCCAACAAATATGCTCCCCACGCCTGGAGAGAAAAAAACAGAACGTAAACGTTAGCGGTAAGATCAACTGACTGAGTGATTGAGTTTTTAACGGGGACTTGTACACACAGAAGTGCGCTAGCAGTTTAACTTGCCACAATTAATATAACACGCAGAGGTAATCAAAGGAAATTCAAAAAGAATTATAACAGAAAGCAGGAGTGATGTAACTACGTCACTGAGGCAGGATTACCGAGATAGACAACTTCAAAATGATTTTGATCATTCAAATAGTTACATTTCATCACAGCGTGATGAACCAGGTAAACAAATATGCTATTTTGATTCAATAATTCACTGACACAATGGTCGGTGGTCACCTAACTAACTAACTGTGTTGCTAATGTAAAATAAACACGTGTTTTTCTTATTGCTGACCGTCGAATTATTCGACTTATAATTGATGATTATATATATAGAATATTCTAGATTAGTGGCCAATAACAATATTAGTGTGTTTTTTTAATAATAATAATATCGACTACAAAATATTGCTGAGGCTGGCCGTTGGGATCCATATTAAGAAGCCTAATTTGTGCGTCCAAAAGAAGTTAGTCCAGACATTATCCTTACCCGCTTGGCCATCTAGGTTTGAATGATACTGAATTTTTGTGGAAATTTCCCTAATTTTAGTTGATATTCTATTTGTATGGAGGATTTCATCATGAGCTGACATCAGTTAGAGAACCACTGGAAAACCTGGGAGTACTGGACAGCTGTTTCGTCCTAGTTTGGGACTCTTCATCAGTACGCGCCCACCGGGATTCGAACCCAGGACCTTCTGGTTACAAGGCGAGCTCGTAGACCATTGAGCCACTGGGACCCGATCCAATGGTCCTTGTTACTATATCTTTATTATTATTATTATTATTATTATTATTTAAGCATCTTTAATGAACTGTAATTGCATTGATCTTACTTTGCAAATCGTTATAATTGATGAATGAATTAACGGGTAACAAACAAACATATTTAAAGTTTTCACTGCCAAACACTTCACGTAAAATTAACTGGAACAGACAACACACGAAATATGCATATATCAAGAAGGTCTCTTTCTCTCACTTTCACTTCTGCTTGCGGAACCAACACCAGCCAGATAACACCTTCAGCCGACATACTTTAGGAATGGCTTATAGCCTGATATATAAAATTTCCACTGCAAGGTAACTACTACTCTACTACTACTACTAAGGTACATTAGATCATATTTTAATGACGCAAACAGAAAAGCAGTGATGATAACAACAAAAGGTTAATATAATTCTTTTAACACAAAGGTGATTAGTTAGTAGTTACCTTGCAAACCAAATAATATAATATACAGGATTTCAGATTATAATATACAGTAGAATGCTAGCTAACTATCGCGTGTGTGTACCTACCTATTAATACACTTTCATGTATGTGCAAAGGTGCACACACACACACACACACCGGAATTATTTATTGTATCTACACGAAACATAGAAATTCGATCGATAAAGAAAGAAAAAAAATTAGCAGAAGGTAAAGAACGACCGATACTCTTTTTGAACCAATGAAAATATTTTGTGACATTTGTTGTAGGTATCTCTGACTGGACAGGTTAGACATTTACGCTGTTAAAAACTTATACATATACTGATGTTAAAAAAAACTTGTTTTTCGTCTTTATATATATAGTGTCGAAGTAGACGGTCATCTTTGCTGGGTGTTGATATTCAAACACTTACACACACACGCACACGCACAAATACGTGTAGCTTATACAACTGAGGGAAGAAAAACACTGACGCTATCATCAACACCTATCTACCTAGCTGCTTACCTACATCAGTGTTTGACGAAAGAAAAGCACAGAAAGAGTATAGAAAATGCGGTCGTTTAAACAGCACACATATAATTTGTAGAATTATGGGCAATGATAAAATAAATAGCATCGAGTGTTTGCAAGAAAGGAAATAGCAGTTAAATAAAATTAGATGCAAAACTGTTTTCAAACGAAATTAACAATCTTTGAAAGATATACACTGAGTAGACTAATTATTTTTATTTATTTTTATTTACAGCTTGATTCCACACCGTATTTTCAGTACAAGTGTGGAATTTTCATCATGGATATCGGTAGCCCAAATTCAGGCCGACCATAGATATCGGGTGTGCGCCGGCAGGGGATCGAACTCCGGACCATGTGCATGGTCGGCGAGAGTCTTAACCACTGTGCCACCGACGCACAATCTTGTCTCAAAAAGTATATCACACGTTGTATTTGATTGGATTTTAAGATGTATATATATATATATATATATATATATATATATATAAACTGGTTAGGACACTGAATTATATCAGAGTGTGCTTTCACTAAATCCGATAGAAAACTCTTCATCCAGTTATTCAGGATACCATAACCTCTTTATCCTTCAATTGTTGTCCAACAGCTACAGAGTTTTAATTCATTTCTCACTGGTCATTAATTATTCATTCATTCATTCATTCATTCCAACCTCGCCTAGATTTCTGGCTCGCTAGTTTTCTAGCCGGTCCCAAGCCCGGATAAAGAGGGAGGGTTGGGGCGTGGTGCTAGCAACTCCACCCCCAAAACTTAACCAAATTGCTACAGAAACTTCAACGCATAAATATATTAAAAATACTAAAAACAATAACTTTATTTTTCACTGGAATCGGGGAAGTGAAATGACGCAGGTTGGTGAAAGCCTTCGGGAAGCCAGTCAGCCGATGTGCCTCCTTTCGATAAAAGCGAAAATAAGGATGGGGACGTGGAATGTTCGTACAATGTACGAAGCTGTAAAGGCTGCCCAGGTAGCCGCAGAAATGAGAAGATATGGAATAGAAGTGTTGGGAATTTGCGAGAGTAGATGGAATGGATGTGGGAGGTGCCAACTATCAACTGGAGAGACAGTAATCTATTCCGGTCACCCAGAGGACAACCACGAGCACACCGAGGGAGTCGCCATCATGATGTCACCAACAGCAGCCAAAGCTCTCATGTAGTGGGAACCAATCTCCTCCAGGATAATGATAGCCAGGTTCAACTCAAAAGGAAGGAAGGTTACAATCATTCAATGCTATGCGCCTACAAACGTCTCAGAACAAGAGAAGAAGGAGGCCTTCTACAGACAACTACAAGCAGTAATGGAAAATGTCTCAAATGGCGATATCAGAATCCTGATGGGTGATATGAATGCGAAACTGGGAGGAGACAATACCGGAAGAGAACTCACCACGGGTCGTGAGGCCCTCGGTGAAATGAACATTCATTCATTCCAGCTCATCACATTAATTACGGATATTCTTAGACGAGTAGATAGAGATGTACGTTTTTAACTTGACTCATAGTTTAGTATTGCACTGAAAGTAATTCAGATTTACCTGTATTGAGCAAACAACGTTAGAAACATCTCTAAAAAGAAACAGGGAGTATCAGCATAGAACTTAGCATCACTAGATAGTTGTTTCAATTGTTAAAACAGACATTGACGCATTAAGAAGGTAAAAGAAACGTAAGAAAAGAAGTTGGACATAATACCATCGAAGATCGTAAAGACAACATAAAAAGAAGGCGAACCAACTAAGGAGATAAAAATTTCAAATAAAAAGAAAGATAACTGATTCAGTTTCAACATGGAACAGTGCACAGAAGTGCAGCAGTTCAAGTTGCCGATTCCATGTAACACGCAAAGGTAGAGAGAAAAAAAGAAATTTAAGAGAACCATAATGAGCACAAATGTGCAGGAGAAAGAATAGAAAAGCATGAGAATTTAGTGAATGTTAGAGTTTACAAATAGTGAATACATTGACGCCATTTAGAACGATTTCTAGCCATACCACTAACATTTTCCGGAAATCGGTTCTCGGCAACCTGAGGACTTCAACTAGCCAGTCTACACCTCCCTATGTGGGTGGCTGAAACCAAGTGTCAAAGACTTCATGGAATGATCCTAGGTGTCAGTTTGACCACCTCAAACTCTTTTCCAAACCAATTTCATGTCAGATAACATTGCTCGGCATGCACCACACGTGTCCTAGTCAGAGGAGGATAAGTTCAATTTGCATTAACAAAAATTACACAATGACGAAAATAAATAATTCTAAATTTTTCAATTCCTAAACGCTCTCTTCAAGAAACAAACCTCAGGAACTGTCAGTTTCTCAGCACCAACAGAAGAATTGGATGGGTAGATTTTTTTATCTTGATTTCCAGTTACAGTAACTGTTGTGTGCACCGTATGAACATCAGGGTTAGTAAGCGTTTTAACAACTGCTTCAGTAACATCACTATCAAAATGTGAATTGGATGATGAATGCTTTGGTCCAGGCAGATGATTGACCACATTCACTTGTATTGTTGGATGTGGAAACTTAGAACTAACATAGGTCTCGGCTAAATTAATCGAAATATCACGGTTAGTTGTTAATTTCTTGGGATTTGTACAATGACAATGGCGACAATGACGGTGATGATGATGATAATGATGATGATGATGGTGATGACGATGACAACAACAAGAAGTTGGATTTTTATTACTTGGATGATGATGATGATGATGATTAAATGTTCGTGAATGACGTGATTCACAAGGACAGATTGTAGCCGACCTGTGAGGATTTGTTGTTGTTGTTATTGCTGTCTCCACATCTGGTTGACGTAGACAACACAGTACATCTAAACGCTTTTGACTACGACGAGTGGCGTCAAGTTGCAATAGAGCAGGAAATAGAATAAATACACTGATCGACTGTACAAGAGTAAGAATACCAGCCTGTAGAAATAAAAAAATATAAAAAGTGTTTCAATTAATTAACCTGTACATATCTAATTCCATCAATAAAAATAGTCATTATTTCATCTGGGTAATTGTAAGTTATCGAAACCATATATATTCTATACCATAGAATTAAGTTACACGCACACATCATATTTCCAGTGATGTTTTGAAAATGCATATGACATACACTAGTTGTTGATACATATTCCTTTGGGACACGGCAACATTCAAACTCGTTTCAGTAACAACAGTCAATGTAATGCAAATGCGTTCAGCAGAAAAACTATGCAAAGAAAAGATAAATTAAACAGGTGTGTCCTGTCCTGTACTTTACTCTTAATCACAATCAGAATAAAGCCAAATATTTTTTTTCTTTCTTTAACTAAACTTGGATTTACAGATAATGTCGGGGAAATTCAACTTTTGATTATATCTATGGCTTTTACATGGATAAAGATAGGTTAATATTTCTAGACAAAGAAATGGATGTTAGTGTCCGAAACTTGTGACAGAAGACCACCAAACTTGACAGAAGTATTTTCAACCTACAGCTAAATTAAAAGAGGTAATTAGGTGGGTAGAAGAAGATTTTCTCAAGCGTGTGTGTATGTGTATGTGTATGTGTGTGTGCGTTCACGTATTGAAAAAGTGTAAGAGTTTGTGTGAATCAAAACTGTGCGGTAGGCCATGTATGTTACATAGTAAATTAGTTGCCATATTATATTATATACGACAGTTTAACAAATGAATTTCTGAACTGTTGTTTATTTGTACGAAAGAGATAGAGAAGAAAAAAAGACTTTAAAAAAAAAAGATAAGAGCAGTGTACTTAACAATGAACCAATAAGAGGTAAACACAACACGCAGGGTGGTCTTTGTATTCGAAAAAGAGTTGAAAGGAGGAGGAGAAAGACGCGACTTTGTAGCAGGTATTTAAGTAGATTTGATATAAACTTATGTCTTTTCTGTTCAGACTGTAATCTCTATGTTACATTAACATTTTACAATGCCCCACACAGAATGAATGAATTTAAGATATTATATTATAATATATAGTGGGTGGTCTAGATAAGAATTCTCGTGTGGTCAAAACTATGCAGCACATTAGTATACAAATACACTGTATATGTACATTTTTTGCACAATATCACAGTTGTTTTCAAACTGTCTTCAGTGTTTCAAAGTGGCAGGGGACAGGACATAGGTAAAAAACAAAAAGCTTCTTTTTTCACAGTCAGATCAGGGTGCAGAACAAAGGAAAGTAAATTGTTACATATGTGAAATAAGGGCAACTACGTAAAATAATATACATGTATATATATTTACACTTTACTAATATTTCTACTCACCTGTAAACAGAACTGACGTATCAATGGGACAGGGATAAATGCAGCAGAGAAAAAAGCACTAGAAATAGAAATTGCACCGAAAATAAGAGTGGGACCATGTACAGCTAATACATGAACAGGAGGCGTAGACGACTTCGATGACCAAGAAGATAAAGATACTGTTGAAGACCAAATAGTCTAAAATTAAAGATGAATGGAAAGATGCATTATTAAGGAGAGAACACCTCCACAGTGTTAGCCAGTGTTAGTTAGTAACGGGTAAAGACTACTCATCATCTAAGCAATCCATTCATAAAAAAGAAAAGATCACAGCATATTTGACGTAAATATGCAAGTATGTCTTCGTGACAGAAATATTATGCTTCTTCATTTTGCGGCAGATGATACACACAGAGAAACCACGCTTAGATGGTAGTAAGCCAAAGAAAGAGAGAAACCTGAGTGTGAGGTTAGTGCAACGCCACATTGTACGATTAACACCGCGCTACTGAAACAGCAAAGCTTAAACCTTGGAAATCTGGAAATAGAAAACTCAATTCTCAACTTCCCCTAAGACGGGAGTAAGCATTCCAAAACGCGAAGAATGCAACGCCCTTCTTACTGTAATAAAATCACTAGATCTCACAAACATACACAACCAAGTTAGAAGTATAGATATAATGTGTATAATAATAATAAGGAAGTTATTCGTCTTATTGAACTGTTGATTACACATTTTTGAACTAAATAATCGACAAATAGTAATAATAATAATAATACAATAGTAATAGTAGTAATACAATCACAAGCTATAAATCATACACTAATAAAGCCCAACGTTTTTATGTGTTTTAGTGATTGTTTCAGCTAGATTGTTTTTCCAATCAATTTCTAGGTTTAAATGCCACCTGAATACAACAGCCGTTAAGCATTAGTAGTAGTAGTATTAGTAGTTGTAGTACTATGATATAATATTGGAAACTAATTACTAAGCATAAATAAATAAAAAATTAAACCTTTGAAAACAAATCGTAACTTTTTCTTTAAAATAAAAGCAGCCTCGAATCCGCTCATCATTAGACAATGAGCATTATACAATAAGTTGATAGAACTTCACAGCTATATCATCCAGTAATTGACATATATATATCGACCATATCAGTTAGATTAGTCAGAAAACACACACATTAAAAATGTAAGTGCCCGAAAATTCCCTCTTTTTCCGAAAAAGAAAAGTTGAAAATACAATTTTATTTGGTGTAATGAAAGGAAAAAAGAAAAAAACAAGAGAAAACTTACTGAATCTGAAGAAGATGGACTAGTTGATGGGAAAATACGACGAGCAATGCAACATTCATGACAAGTGGTTAAAACAAATATGCCATCGACGCCCAAACCAAGAAGTAAAAAAGGCAACACCTGTATAACAAACAGCAAGAACATACAAGAAGATTTTTGTTTCCTGATTAGACCTTTTGACCGAGCAACTGTTACGATAAGTATAAATATAAATGTGTGACACCAAAACATAATTGAATTATGCAGAATTTATTTTAAAAAGTTTCCGCTTTACCCCATTTCAATCAGTGAACAAATCACCAACCAACATAAACTGGACAACTATTTCCTGACTGGTCAATGCTAACATAAGATCAGGATTTTGCATTTATATTCTCCTAGCATCTGTGCGTCGGTGGTGCAGAGGTAGAATGCTCGCCAGCCACTCAGGTGGTCCAGGGTTTGATCCCCGGCCGACGCACCCCCCTAACCTCGCTTAGCTGGTAATAAGCCTGGCAGAGGGGGAAGGTTGGACGGGAGACTAGCAATCCCACCTGCTAGAAATAGAAACCACTGCTACTAAAACTTCAAACCTATAAGCAGAAACCATATGTTCCACTGGGAACTCAAAGGAATAAAATAATAATAATTATTATAATAAATCTCCTAACATCTATAAAATAAGTCAAAGCTTTGTTTACCACATTATTTTTTAAGCGAAAAGTACGAAGATCCGAATGCACTTGCGTTGATTTGGAAGATTTTAACTAATAGTTTAATGACTAAAGTTGAAATTTTCTCCCTTTCATGTCAGCTAAATACGGCTACATCCCAGAGAGTCACCAGGTCCTTGATAATAAGACTTGAACGCAGGCATCTAAAAGCAGAAGTGCTATCAACCCAGTCCACTGAGTGACTATACTACAGTGAAGATTAAAAGTCCCACATCGTCTAACTTACCGGGTCCTCTAAGTTTGATGCCAGCCAGTGTCGAAGTTGTTGTGAAGGTAAATACACTGACTGAATAAACATAACTCGTTTTTAATAGATTCTACAATCAAATTCCATATTAATTTTTTCTACTGGATATATATCACACAGTGAAACATAAACTCTACAATTTAAACTGAAATGCAATCAAAATTGTACTGGGAACTCGACGTATAACATGCTGATTTAGTTATCTTCTCTGAGCTGGTTGATTTAATTGCGGAGCTTTCGATGTCCTCCTCCTAGACAATATCTTCAGCGCAGGTTTTAGTAAAAGTGTAGATAATCAAAAGTTAAATTTCCCCAAAACTATCTGTAGAACCAAGTTTAATAAAAAATTTGGCTTTATTCTGATTGTTATTAAGAATGAAGTATAGCACACTTGCACTGAAGTTATATCTAGAAGAACAAGGAAAGCTTCGCAATTGAATTAACCAGCTGAGAGAATACAATTTGAATCAAAATCATTCACCTGGACTTCTCCATTATTTCAAAATATAACCTCTACTATTGAGTACTTTGGCCATTTATTCATTGTATATGCCGGCTTTGCTAAGCCATTCAAACGCTTAATTATGTATGTATGAGTTGACTTAAATTTTGAACGCATTTTTATTCTAAATGTAGTTCACTAGCCTAACAAAATATACCTGATACTGTCAGTTGTCGATGTCTGTTATTAAGCGGCATATTCTCATTTTAGTTTAAACAACTGTGATAATTGACTGAAAATTCAGAAGATATAATAAATAAATAAAAACTATAATCATTTGATGCATTTTTTTGGTACTGTTAAGATTTAAAATTTTTAAAAATAAATTTAACAATCTCACCTGAATAGTTAATACATTGAACGGTATTCCAAAAGCTGCACAAATCCCTAACCCAGCTATGGATGATAATGCTATGATCATTAATCCACATATAGCCAACCAACACTGAGAGCGAACAGGATCTCGCCAGCCAAGAAGACTGACAACACCATAAAGAAACTAATAAAGCAATAGTAGAAGAAAAAAAGAAGGAAGAATTATGCAGGTATTCATAGAAAACTGGACAGAAAAGCAAGTCTGCGTATTTGTGTGTATAATATAAGTATGAAAGATAGATGAGATGGTATATATATATATATATATATATATATATATATGAAAGGGACAGGACATCTTAGTCACATGATGACGGAGAAGTCAATACTATCTTTGAATGACAGCTGAAGGTATGAAAAGAAGTATGGAAAAGGTGAAAAAATAATGCACACTAGTAAAGAACTGTTTAGTGGCTCTATATAGCTATGTTGAATGATTAATCATTATTATTATTATTATCATTATTTTCTTTTTTCTATTCTGTCAATCTGTGACTAGTGAATGCAATGATAAAATCTGTATATGCCAAGTAGATGTAAGTATTAGCAAAGAACACCACGGAAAACAGAATCTAACCACTTTTTTCGTTCACAAAATGAAAAGAAGGCACGCCAGCATCAGTAAATAAGTATTTCTGTTTCGTCCAGCTATATATATATATACATATATATATATATATATATATATATATATATATATATAATACTCGATAATCAAAAGGTTGATTGATAAGCTGACATATTCACGCAGGATATCAAATGGATTATTCATATAAGGAATAACTGAGTGTAACTATATATAACTTATATATACACGGCCTAACACTGTTTCTAAAGCGTTTTTAGCTCACTTCATTTACAAGGTATCTATCCAAGACACCATAGCTTAAAACCATTTAGCAATGATATCCCCCCCCCAAAAAAAAAGGATATGCAATTTAAAAGTAAAACGCCTTATCTTTAGGTGTTAGATTAATATTTTCATAAGTATTAACCTTGAACAGTTAATTTATAGTTGTTTCCACAATAAAAAAACATAACAAAACAAATCCCAACAGTGAAAATATAACTGCCTGAATGACTTAGCTTCCTATGTAGGTAGGACTTTGCATAAAAGTGTAACACTTCAAGTTACTATACTACATATAAAGCATACACATAAATGTAAAGGGAAAAGATGCTTTTTAAAATAGAGAAAATTTATAATAAACGGAGGTGTACAGAAGAAAGAAAGAAAGAGGAAACTACGAGAATGGGAGCTTAATCTAACAAGTAAGAAAGATGTGAAGGTTCGAATACCAAGCAAACCACAGTGGGAAAGAAGTCCATCTTCATTTAACTCAACTTCAAAGATGATAATATTGCAAGAATAGTCGACAGAATGTTGAATACGTCAACACCAGCTAGAACACATACTGCAGCTAAGTAGGATCTCATTTAATGGGCAACATCCTCCTCTTTGGTGTAATCACAGATACCCTTCTCATGTTAAGTCTAACTGTGTATACGAATCGACATGTATGTAAGAGAGCAGAACAGAAAGAAGGGCGTGCCTTCAATTTTCTGAATATGAACCAAATAAACCTACGTGTCAAGAGAACAAACAAACGCTTACAACAGTGCCAATGCCAGACACAATTCATCAATACGGTTTAGGAAGTGGACACAGAAAAATCCTTTGAAATTATCAATAGACGAAATAGTTCAATTCACCTACAGTTTGACGAAGCAATCGCCATCAAACACCTGAAACCGAGTTATCAGTCTTTCTTTGCCCTGGTAACGGGATGTCTTCACTGTTCCCTTCGTTCGACTACGTAATTCTTGGCTTTAACCTCCCCCTCCCCTTCGATTTGGTGTGAATTTGCTTGTCTCTTGTTTCTATGATTTGACTTGGACTCACCAATGTGTTACTTATAATCGAATCCCCTTCTTTATTACATAACTTTTGCAATCGTAAGCAAATATTAATTTTTGTATTAACCCAAACTTCCTGAGCATAAGCCATACACGCATAATTTCTGAGGACTGTTTATTAAGTCTGGAATTACCTGTCAGTCGAGATTACGTCACCATTCGCAAGTATGTTAAGCATTTTCTGTACATAAAATTCCTAATTTCTCTAGGCTATACTCAGTTGATGAAAAGCCGACGAAATAAATGATGGTACCATCTTATTCTGCACAAACTGTTGTTCTTGCTTTATTCTGATTCATAAAGGGGAATAATTGTATGAAGTTAGTCACTTTAGTCATCATTTGGACTTTTCTTATAAGCTTAGTAGGAATACACGAAGAAATTTTGTCATTGTAGTCAAAAGCAAGTAAGAAAAAAAAGCTTCATATACATACTTGCTTGGTATGTAGACTAGCTATTATATGATAATTATTATTAACGGAAAGCACAAAATGACAATAATGCGGTGAGACTCTAAGTCAGTAAGACTTTATATGCATGCACTAAGCAAGAAATGCAAACAAATGCTTAGAGAACAAAACGCATAATTTTGTTTGTCGATTGTCACAATTTGAATGATCTGTATCCCGACAGTGTCGGTTTCTAAATTACTCACAATAAGTATAAAAAAAGAGAGACTAATTTGCTTAACCAGTGATAACAAAATTACTGAGTTTTCAGTTACTCATTTCAACATAAAGATGTATCTCAACTTTATGTTACTCATAGAATATAGAACTACAAATGTAAAAATAATCAATCTAAACAGGCTTATAAGGGGGGATGTGAAATAATGTGATACTGCCCAACTGTCCAGACAGTGCTATAGATAGACTTCAAATTAAAAGTAGATGACTTCCAACCTCACCACTAGCTTCTACTTTTATGTGATAACCACGCTTGCATACCGCAATGATTCCATTTGTACTTGCTGGGATGAATGTTTCCAAGATTCCTAATATGCTAAAAATATTATACAGGTAGTTGTTAGGCCAAAATCAATTACCAGTACAGGTTAGGTTATTTACACCATGGCAGGGATGTTGGAGTAAAGTTATGCTGTCTTGTAGCAAAGGAAGTAACAGAAGTATGGTATTTCAATCGGGTAGTCACAGCAAGTAAGCTATACAACCTTCCTAATCTTGGGAGGTCGATATCAAAAATGGTTGATCCCGGCTTAGCTTGTAGCAGTTCGTATACGACGTTAAGGCCGTTTCCACAGACGAAATTCCTACCACTAAAAAAACAGGCTTTGTGTAACGAACCTGAAGCAGTTGTCCATTTGGCTGTACTTGATAAGATATCAGCAACAGAAGTGTAGATTGGCGGAAGTAACAGCCGCCCAAACACTTCCATAAGCACACAAAATTCTCCATATCCCCCAATTTCCTGATTTCACTGCACTAATATTATTACCAAGAAAGTTTCTTCTCTGCCGGCTAACTGTGCGACTATTATTAGCGAACTCAACCAGAAACACATTGTTCGCACGTTCTTATAGTTACTCTCATAATTTTGAATTCACCGAGGTTAATCTAATTATTCCTTTTCTTGTACTCCTTCCTATGGTGTAATCCCATTATATTTCTTTCCTCTGCTTTGATCTGTGTCTGCCTGAAAGCATGATAACTTGAACTGTCACACTCGCGTGCAAATTTCCACGTTTATAAGTAAACCAGTCGATGAACACATATTTAATTTGTTGAGAAGGATTTCTTTCACTGAATTGTCTGTCTGTTTTCAACATAGAACTTTGCATCGATGTGCAGCAGTTCAAGTCACCACACTCCATGTAGTACACATAGCAAGAGAAGAAAGTAGAAGAAATGCATAATAGAGACAGTAAACAGAGATATGAAGCAAAAAGAATAGTAATATCGAAGATCAATATAGTTATATTGAGTATTATAAGTCACAAGGAGTGGATGCATCTGCACAAGCCATTGAGAACGATTTTGAGCCACATCACCAATTGTCTCCAGTTGCCATTGATGTTTACCGTCCCGAGGACACCAACCAGGTAGCAAGTCTACACCTCCCTACGTGGCTGGCTTAAATTAACTGTTGAGGATTTCATTGACTGATGTAGCCATGTTTTGGTTTGACCACCAATAGCTGACTCTTTTCCAACCTGCCCCTATGTCAGCTGACTAACATTGCTCATTGTCGAGGAAGGCGATGGATGGCTAGGCATGCGTAACACATGTCCTAACCATCTCAGTCGATGTAACTTCACCACCTCGTCTGTTGATTTCCCCTCCTTACCTAGCACTCGACGCCTAACCTTAACATTTAACAGAAAATTTTATTTACGACCAAATGAAAACAATAATTCTTTATCAAATAAGCAGTGCAAAAATGAGACAATTAATGAATATACCTGAGTACATTAATGACTATATAATACGTAGCACTTACCACCATTAATATGCAACCAACCAATGTGATAGGCCCTAGACGAAGTGTAATCTCTTGCAAGAGGTCGAGCAAGGAAGCGTTAGTAAATGCAAAGAATTTCCATTCAATATGCGACTGTAAACCACTGTTGTGTTCAATCACCAGCTATGAATGAAAACATCAAAAGAGAAAAATATTTAGACGGTAAGGACAGATAACATTCTATTTGGTGCAAAAAGTCTTCCGATTAATACCTTACATGAGCCTGAAAGTACTTGACATCAGGAATATTTCTTCACTTGAACATCAATCGGAAGGTCTTCTGAAGGTGTCTTTTTCTGAAAAGCACGTGTTGCGCATATATCCTTGCTGAAGGAGTTCAGTAACAACTTAAAGCTGGGTATAATGACACGATTGAATATGAATGTTCAACTTAAGCAATGGAATATATTTGAAAATAAAACATAAAGTGACTTCAGTTTTCTTTATTACATCATACATGCCCTCCTCCTGTGCACTAATCTCTTTAGCATTTTGCAGTCATTAGAGATAATAATGAATGATACTTTTAACTTTTCGAATCCGTTCAATAAAAGCAACTAAAAGTGTAGATGGCATTGATCGTAGATTTTATAGTAGTCCAGTTACAATACCAGATATTAAAATCACTTCAATGCAATTTCATAACTATTTGGATTTTCAAAAGTCCATTGAAATTTTTTTTTAAATGAATCACTTACACGTTTTAAATTACGTCTCCATTCGCGTAAAACATGCCTAGCATCATCTAATGTCCAATCTTCATGTTTGTAAGGATCACTCCGTCTAACTGCATCGTATAAATCTCTTGGAGATCGTAACAAAATAAGTGATTGAAGAGAATTAGCTTTCAGCAGGCGACCACTTTTCAGCATATTTTGCTTGCTTTTGTTGATCTCACTGAATGAAACCCTTTTCATCACATGTTCTAACTTGGTATTATTTTTATTTGTAACTGCTGACACTTGTTGTGTGTCTGCATTGGAAGATATATTCAAACCATAACTAGCGTGAACCCGACCACCGACAATAATCTCCTCTGGCCAATGAAGCATGTTGGAAGCGAATCCAGAACAACCACCACTGAGTATCTTGGATATATCTGGAGGCTAATTAAATAAATAAACCAGGGCAATCGTATTAATAATTAGTCCTAAGCAAAGTACTAAAAATAATAACAAAAACCAGTGAAAATATTCTCTTCATCTGAATGTGAAAATTTAGCAGCCTGGGATTGGAAACAACTATCACCAACCTCCCACCCACCGGCATCAAAAGGCATTCACAGTTGTGTTACAACACTCTCATTAGAGAAACCTATTCTTCATTGTTGTTGTTGTTGTTGAAATATTTCTACATTTCCAATTTAATCTACCTAGAAATAAAAACAGACATCGACGACCTATGAGAAAATTATACCCCAGTCTTATAAATAGTATAATTGAAAAAGAGAACTATGTCACATGCATACTTCGTAAATGAAAGAACCATCTGCTGTTAGCCCATCAAACTACAAAAACTACAAGTGACAATTCAATTACAATTATCTATTCATACCTACAATATGTATATGAGAATTATTCAGCAGACACATTATAGATAAAAAAAGTACTTTTAAGAGCTAAATCCAATTAAATTCACTTCAGTTTGTACGGTTGTACAACATTAAAAACTTGATTATATGATGATTTCATCCTTGCTAGTTGAAATTTCACAAATATGAATTTACTTTATATTTAGAGGGAAAAAAAGGTTATTACACGATAAATTAAATTATATAAGAGAAGTCTGACAGTAGTTGGAAACGCTCACCTCCCCTTTGTAATTAGGAGCAGAAACTGGGCAGGCAGGATCTGATGGATCTAAACAAGAACGATTTAAGTAACCATGATTTATGCCTGCTTCATGAAATAAATTAATTAGATTGTTAATTTCAGTCTGTGAATAATTTCCATAACGTTTTGAAAGATCTTGAAGTAATCCAACCGGGTCAATATTTGTCCATTGAAGTAGAGTACGTTCATCGAACCTATTCGAATAAATGCATATAATGTCGATACATTAAAAGGAAAGTAATTAATCCACTGTCTAAGTAATTCAACAGATTAATGAAATAAAATTTTTATTGTGGGGTGAGAATTTAAAGGTGGTAGTTTTCTCGCATACCCTTTTTGTTTTTCTATTTTTCATTCCTTTCCGTTGCAACTGGAACATAGAGCTTTAAGCTTGAGCTCTGAAGTTTCCGTAACGAAGCTTTTTTTTACGAGGTGGAGTTGTTAGCGCCTAACACTCAGGCTCCCCTCTTTACCGGACTTACTAGCGGCTAAGAGAGAGAGAGAGATTTAGGAGTGAGTCGGCAGGGAATTGAACCTGAATCAAGGGCATGGTTGGCGAGCATTACAATATCGAAACATCAATGCATCATTTTTCTCGGATGTAATTCATAACTACACCAGCCTACGATGAATCTCAGTTTGACTAAACCATGACAACGTTTACAAAAGGTTTAATGCTGCAAAGAAATAGTGTGTTTTTCGATGGTTTGCGATGTAAACACATGCCACTTGATATTAACTTACAATTTAGTCAACTGATTTGTCTCTTTAATTTACTCTCTATACCTAACTGACATTATTCTATTAATAAGTGAAGACGTAGATCCTTAGCTATGATACTTGACTTCTGACCAGAAAGGGTAGTATCATCAACCTTTCCACTAGGGGTGAAACTCATGGCCTGGAACATGAAAAATCTGTTGCGGATAAGTGAATTCCAGCAATATTTACTTGATGCGTGAGACATGCCTGTTCAACATCCAGCTTTATTGGAAGTAGGATTTAGAAACAAAACAATAAACGGTGACCACACCAGAACGTGGCACGAGTTTATGACGCCATAGACTCTTGATCTGAGTGATGCATATAGGTGTAAATTAGAGCTATCTAGAGTCCATGTGGCCACTAAAACTTAAATTTGGTGATTGTAGGTTGCGTGGCTCAGAATTGAACACAATAGTTGGGATGAGTTGATACCTTATTTTCACTGCTGTTGTGATACCATACTTCTCCACAACCCATGCATCTCTTATTCCCACCTCACAACATATTCTACGATGTTTGATTAGGTAATTTCCATATGTCTCTGTCCTATTTTAACTTTTCCTACTTGATTGACGGCAAAATGCTACATGACAACTTAGACTGTTATGGTAGTAATATCCACATGCTGCGTTGATTTTCTCAACAAGAGTGAAAAAGAACAGAGTATAACGCCTATCGAATAATCATAGCTGTCTTGTAGCGTTTTCTATCAGAATGCATATTTCATAAATTATCTGATTATAAATATATTCATCACAGAATGCTTATACAAAACATTACTTGATAAAATGAGTACAAATTTCAGACGACATTAATAACCAGCATTTTAATTGTCAATTAGGCTGGAAAAGAGCTAGCGGTGGTCAAACCAAAACATGGCTTCATCAGTCAGTGAAACTCATAATAGTTAGTTTAAGCCAGCCACGTAGGGAGGTGTAGACTTCCTGACTAGTTGGAGTCCTCGGGACAGTAAACACCAATGACAGCTGGAGACAATTGGTGATATGGCTCAAAATCGTTCTTAATGGCTGGCGCAGATGCATACACTCCTTGTGACTTATAATACCAAGTAAAACTATATTGTTCTTCGATATTACTATTCTTTTTGCCTCATATCTCTGTTTACTGTCTCTATTTTGCATTTCTTCTACTTTCTTCTCTTGCTTTGTGTGCTACATGGAGTGTGGCGACTTGAACTGCCGCACATCGGTGCAAAGTTCTATGTCGAAAACAGACAGACAGACATTGCAGACAGTAAGATCATAACTACACTATCCTCCTCCCTTGACCATCACATTTCAACATTTATACACTTTCCTATAAACTGAAATGATAACCGACCTACACTAGTCAGCTGAAACCATGGAGGATTCCAGCACAGTGACTATTTCATTGGTTAGTGAAGTAGATAATCCTTTAACAACACGTCACTTATATTTCGTTTTGCTTTGAATTGAATGTAGCCTACACGCGCATTATAAACTAAGACCAGAAGTAAAACTAAGTTAATAAACAATGAATATTAACCAGAATTTTTGAGACATTTAAGCACCTGTATAGATAGATACAGATTACTAGAAATACCTTATATTATTTATGACCAGGTAAAAACAAAAGAAGTGATACACAGTTGTCATGCGCATGTTGAATACAACACATACAACATACAAATAATAATATACCAGTAATACAACCATCTGGTTGACTGCAAGATAATAAACAGATGTTGAATACTCTTATCCGGTTGTGATTAACATCACAAAACCTAACCAAAGGGTTCAACCCGTAGGCATCAAGTACACTGACCAAACCCTTAAGCCAAAGTATGCCTTTTTGAAAAAGGCGCATCATGAATTTCTCCATCGGAAACTGTCAGCATGATATAACAATAAAATAAACACTAGCCAAGGATTATTTATAGAATACTTAAAATAATCCCAGATTGTTTAAGAAAACATCAAAACAAGATTTTTCTGAACGTTCCCCTGTGTAAGCCACAGTTTCCTCAGCAGAATAACCCGTATATTAGAAAATACTTTGATTGTTACTAACTAGTTACTAACTGGTGTAATGTGTCTAGTTCCTTGTTTGAGGCAGACTGAATTCTGTCAGTCAATCAAGTTTGCAATGTGGCCACCCCCTTCTAGATGGCTCGCCATCACGGTGCACTTTGAATTGTTGATATTAGATGATGGTTGGAGGCAGTCGACAGGAAACCTTCGACCTAGATTTAGTGCTGGTTGGCACTCATCAGCAAGGCATGTCTACAACATCAGAAGGAACTAATGTCCCTTCCGAGATTCCAACCCGTGTCACCCCAGTACTGCAGACAGAGATGTGACCACTGAGCTATTCGGGCTCAGTGAAGTATCTATGGTTCCTTTCACAGTTCTTTCAAGATTGAAAATAAGCATCGCTGACGAGTGCTAACTAGAACGAAACCTAGGACCCGGTCATCCTGCCAACTGCCTCCAACCATGTTAAAAAATCTCCGTAATAACAATAACAGGATGAAGAAAACGCAAAAGCTCCACATTAGATGTTATTCAGCCTGTACGCACTCTAATATTAGAAATTACTGCAAAAAAATGTTATTTACGGTCGCACAGCACGAAAATATCAACTGCCGTTAGTGAAGTAATTAGTGGATAAAATTTTATCTTTGATAAAGTCACACAGCATTATACAGTAATATTTACTGATGACGTTGCAAGCACAATTTATTACTGTTCGTAATCATATCAAGGTATTCACACAAGGAATTATCCTCTGCCACAGTGCCCAAGGTTTATCCTTATGTCGAAGTGATTAGTGATTCAGATAGAATTGTGAAAATTACAATAAGTAATTTTAGATCAATTAATTCAAATTTTATTCCAATCATCTAGTGCTCATTCCTTTTCAGACAACTCCATATCTCAGGTTTCATTGCTATTCTGTAACTTGTGTTATACTTGTTCTCCAATAACAATACCGATAAGGGCCTGATGAACAAATAAATAAGGACGGCTACAGTGATTACGCTCGTAAGGTACTTCTCCTTTGTAATGAGCAGTTGTTTAACACTCCAAGAACTTCCAGTGATCAAATGGCTTCGGTAAAGTCGGTCTCTCACTTTAGATTTTTTGGTTGATAACAATTCTCGAAACTCATGATTCAAAATAGAAGGATATCAAGATAACTATCAAAGAAATGTTAATCTAGAAAAACTGATTGATTCACCAATAACAATAATGAAACAGCAATACTTACCAAGGCACCCACATTGCTTCTTCAGGTCCAAGGACTTTAGCACCTTCCCAAAAGCAATCCAACGGTGTTATTATGATGCATGGAATAATCATATCCAGATAAGCCTGGTGAAGAAAAACAGGCATGAAATATAACTATGCATATATGTACATGCTGAATGAGAAAGGCTCAAAGGGAATGACAAAACTTCCGAAATGATATATATCAAGGGACATTCATTCAAACTATCCACTGCCAATGATTTTCACCAGTTGCTCATGTATGATTCCATAAATTTCGCATTATATTATATTATTATTCTTTTCGGTTCCGAGTGGGCTTCAACAACACATCTCCACTTTGTTCTACTTTTTGCTGTCTTCTTCAGCTGGGTCCACGATTGCCCATAATATCTGATCTCCTCCTCACACAATCTCCTCGATGTCACGCTCGGACGATCCACTCGTCACTTCCTATTGGGATTCCACTCGAGCCACGGCCTGGTGCGCAATGGCATTCGACGGCCTACTTGACATATGCCCAATCTATCTACATTTTTCCCACACTAAATTATATATATATATATATATTCAGCAGAATCTAATGATGTTTTCAAGCTCACTAGATAAGCTTTTGGTAACAAAAACTTCAAAATAATCATGAATAGTTGTAGTGAAATTAAGCCCTCTATACAGCATTGTTTTTATGCACTGCACCGACCCCCATAGATGATATAAAGTAGTTCCTTTCAGTCAACTCACGACACCATTTGAACTTTTTATGTATTACTCAAAGACGACAGAGATTACTCTTAAAATAAGGGTTAAGTTTCAAACGTATAATTGAGTTTTTTTTTCAGAAATAACTGATCGGAAAAGCATCAATACATACCTGTAAATGGTGCATTTCGACACCAAAAGGTAAGGTAGCCCGTTGACATAAGTCTTTGAAAGACCATTTGGACGATCCAACTGTTATTGTCAATCGTCTCACTTTGATTAAAAACTCCATATGATCCAACAACGCTTGAGGAGTTAAAATATTAGCATAATTATCATCTTCTGTAGTATTATTATTATTGTTGTTGTTTTTGTTAGTAAAAATGTCATTCGAGTTAATCCGTTCAGAAAATGATTGACTATTAATAGGTGAAATTGTAGTCTGTAGCACAGTCTCCATACTGCCCATAAATTCACGGCTAATTAGAGATGAATCGATTTCACTTTTTGATTTGGACAGCATAGATGGAACGGAGAGTATGTCTCCTTTCTCTTCCATTTCTTCTCTTTGTGATTGAAATACCATTCTGGATAATTTTGAATCCCGCGAAAAATAATACGAATCACCATACAACGATTCAACATGGATATTTTGAAGTACTTTGGTTAAATATTTCCACTCAGAAGTAAGACGATCACTCTCTGTAATGTACAACATAAAAATGATTGAACTAATAAATTTCGCTATGAAACGTGTTAACCTAAACAAAGAATATAGAAATGAGTGTACACCCCGCTTACAGATTCCACAGAGAACTTGTATTTGAAATCTCTAATCACAGTTTCCCACAACGACTCAAATATCCACCTCTGAACTAATGAGTTAGAAAATGCATGGCTACTGTACTCAATTCGATTGTGAACATATTTTGGCACATATGATAGCAATCACATCCTGATAAAAAAAATTAATGAATAGTGTGATGTATATACACACCGAAGCTTTTGTTTAGATCTACTGGTATAGAAGTAACTAAATTAATGAAAAATATATCTGGTAAAGAAATAAGGTCCAGGTAAGTGTGTAAATACTAGTTTGACATAAGCGAACACGAAAAGTTTTGACTAGTAGGTTATTTTAAGCGTTGGTTGGACCGGATTCGTTTCCCGGTCGACCCATGACCCATGATCCTCATCTAGTTTACTAGCCAGTGATAAGCTTCGAAAAGAGGTGACGTTGGGCGTCAGGCTAGCAACTCAACTATGTAAAAGCAACACCACTAAAAGAGAGTTCAAAGCTTAGAGCTGGAAGCCTTATGTTGCACTAAGAATGCAAAGGAATGAAAAAGGACATTTTCAAAGTAATAGATTCTTAATCGTTATTGAAAGAAAACAAAAACAAGTTCTTTAAATGACATACGTTCGATGCATGCACGAGTCGCCTGATACATCTATTTATAAACTGTCAGCATACCACTTGTGACACGAAATGTTACACTATGAATTACTTTAATTTAATTTAATTTTTTTAATTTTTCATTTACAGCTTGATTCCACACCGTATTTTCAGTACAAGTATGGAATTTTCAGCATGGATATCGGTTAGCCCAAGTTCAGGCCTACCATAGATATCGGGTGTGCGCCGGCAGGGGATCGAACCCCGGACCATGTGCATGGTCGGCGAGAGTCCTAACCACTGTGCTACCGACGCACAAACCTGCAGTCTCTAACTATCTACCTGATTGTATTAGTAACAGTAGTGTAACGGTAGAAGACGAAACACTGTTCGGTGGCATAGCGGTTAGGACGCTCGCCGACCATGCACGTGGTCCGGGGTTCGATCCCCGACCGACGCACTCCTTTACCTCGCTAAGCCAGAAATAATGCTGGTAAAGAGGATAGGTTGGGCATGAGACTAGCAACCCCATCCTGTAAAAATAAAAACACTGCTACAGAAACTTCAAGCCACTAGGTTGAAGCCCTATGTTTCACTTGGGAACGTGAAGGAAAAAAAAATTACCGGAGTTAAATCTGGGAGTCATTAAAATATGTTAGACTGTAGTCTGGAAATGTTTCCACACCAACCAGTAAGTCGCAGGTTCCAATTTCACTACACATACTGAAATGTAGACAACTAATTGATATTATTAGTCCTATAGCAATAAGTGTACATAACTTTGTGCGACTTTAAGTTGTATTTTAAACTTTCACTAAAACTACTAGAACCATTTGAAATAGACATAGCATACAAGCCAACACAAGAACATTTCATTCATTATTGTGCAGACCGAAGGATCCACCATATTGATGCATGTAGACAATTACAGATACCGATTTGATTGGGAGAATGTGGAAATTTTAGGTAGGTAGGGGAAACACCAAAAATATCAGGGAATTTCTAGAAAGCTGGCACTCAGGCGAAACAGCGATTAACAGAAACATTACTACAGATCAAATTTACCAGCTAACAAAAAATAAATCACATGACAAGAAAGTTCAAATTCCAAGTCAATAAAAATGACCAATAAATGTGTAAATTGATAACCAATCACAACAATGGTTGTCAGGGGGATACAATGATCTCATTAATGGAGAATTCAAATAAGTTCACTTCATATTTAACCTTGCGCTGGCGTTGTCTAGATAGACAATGAAAGTTTCGCAATTAAATCAACCAGCTCAGAGAACACACTCAATTAAAAACTAGGACTATTGTGCTAAGGGAAAATTTAAATGGTCAAATGTACACGCTGTACATCTTTTGGAATTCACAAGAGATATCATTTTAAAAAATGACTAGATTCTACTCAATATTTCAAGTCTTCACAAATAGTATCTTATGGAAAAAGATGTGCGGAATTTAGTAATAAGTAGTACCGATTTTAAAAAAGCGCACATATGGATTTATGGATTAAAGGACTGTGTTGTTTAATAGTATCAACGCAATAAAGCAAAACAGTCATACAATACTCTATACTACATACCCATGCTTTATGTCTTTAAACAATAAAATATTAGAGAGTAAATACTTTGTATGAAATCACCAAAATGTGTGGACCACACTTAGCAAACAAACATGATAAAGTGGATAACGAATGCGTGCGTATGGAAATATATACACACAGTTGCACATAGTTCATTGGCGCCATTCCTGTCCTCAATGCTATAAATTCCTACATATTAGTGTGTCAAAAAATTGATATGGATAGAGAGAAAAAAAATTAAGAAAAGGTGTAGTGCGCGACACACTATACTGAATGGCGCCATAGTTTTTGTACCAAATGCACAATATGTGGTAGGTCTTTAAAATTTATATCACAGAAATACACAAAATCATACTTTTTCGCAATACATAAATAGTGGTGGTAGTAGTAGTAATAGTAGTAGTAGCTATAGTAGTATTACTGTTACTGTTAGTAATCGTTATCTTAACAAAACACATGGTAACAGACGAGCTGATGCACACCGAAATTTATACAGGCACAAAATACAGCATATATGGGGGGTAAGTGAATCGAAATGCCTAAATAAGGCGTGGCATTATACGGTTTAAGCAGAGAGCAGAAAATGTGACATGTGATAATAATAATAACTATTGTGTATATCTTAATTATTGCTAAAGTCTGGTAATAAAGATTTAGTTAGTACGAAAAAATAAATCCACTTCGTTTGATATCTTCCTACAAAAGAGTTAGACAACTTTCTTTCCATGATCAAACTCTACCTGGAGAAATATGCCTAGCACTTTTTTGATAAATTAATCAAAAATAATATTCTCCTTTAATCGAAAAATGCATACCATGCAAGAAATCAATAAATGATTTGGAAGAAAAAAAAGTAGACCTCCTTAATCAGCTAGTATGACTAATCAACCCTGGGGCGCATATTGTTAACGTTGAGTGATTAGGAGAAATCTTAGTTACACCATGACGTAATGTTGTCAAAGATTTCCGGGGACACATTTCACAACTCCGATGACAACTCCTTCACATTAGCATAGGGGAAGGGGAAATTGAGGTATCAAGATAAATGTCAGTAGTTGAACAGAGCAACACACACTACACATGAAGTTGCTTATGATACGTCTATGGAGCTCGTATTCTCACATGGCCAGATGTGCAGCATTTCAATGAATGCCGTTTCGATTTATGCCACTGAGATTCAGTAATTCATAAGTAAAATTTCGTCTAACCGAGTAACTAGATTCAACAATTTATCGAAGAGATGTGAAGAAATACAGTAGATGAAAATAAGAAACAACAAATTACTCTCTGAATAGTAGAAGACCTACTAATATATCATGATAGTTATTTGATCCATTTTAGAATGGATTAAAATTAACGGAATCACCTAGTTTGTTGATCAAACATTCATGACCAAATGTCAACAGCCAGATACTACTATAATAGTTGTCATTATATATATATATATATATATATATATATATATATTATGAAGAGGAGCTGAAACAGTATGGATTAACATGGATGCAGGTGAAAAGTACAGCAGAAGACAGAAGCAAGTGGAGACGTGTAGTTGAAGCCCTATGTTCCACTAGGAACCCAAGGGAACAATAATAATAATAATATAATATATATTACCCAAATTAGTTATTTTTAGAATGAAAAGCAAAAATATGTTTTCGGCGATTTCATCCTCAAAAGCTGTACAATTGCAATTATATACATAAGTCTACATTAGATACAATTATTATTTAATTCCACATAATAACCAAGGAGATTGAAGGTGATGATAACTTCTAACCTGATATGAAAGTTTCAAGGCATGAATATAGATTACAAGCGGCTTAGGAAAAAATTACACAGGATTAGAAAACGAAGGCAGGGGTGAATGACATGAGCGTTTAAACAAACTGAATTAATAGCTTTTATAACTGAAAATGAAAAAAAATGAAGGGAATGAAAAAACGAAAACTAAGGAGCCAAACCAAATTAGATTCATGGTAAATGTAGTGATTGGACTACTTTCTTTTTAACACATAGCTCTAAGTTTTTATGGATATGATGAGAGCTTTTGCAGTGCAAAGAAGTCAGAAACAAATGCCATGTAAATGGCCCTGAGTGATGAGTCAGGGTGTTTATAAAGTATTCAATTATAGTGATTCTGAATGAACCAGTGCCTTCTCTTTGCAGTCATGCTAGTCAGTGTACCCGAGCAAATTTTGAAAGGACGTAGCATGGCTACAAAGAGAAGTTAATGGTTCAATCAGAAGCACCATAACTGAACAAAGCGAACAGCTGCACATAAAACACTTAGTCTATGGATTATTGCAGACAGTGAGGGCTTACAGCGAGTTGTGGTCTGAAGTGATGGTATCCGTCAGGGATGCCCATTATCCCCATTTCTATTCAATTTCATCATAGATGTACTAATCGACTTAACCCTAACTCACTTCAGAGACTCAGGGATCGACTTGCTACCAAGGAATAATCTCGTTGACTTAGAATATGCAGACGATATAGTCCTTCTAAGCGAGGATGCTGACAAAATGCATCAGTCTTCTGAACATCTTGAGCTGCAATCTACGAATTTTCGGCGATTCGCTCCCGCCAAATGTAAGATGATGTTACAAGACTGGACTACACTGACTCATAGCTTAGCAATAGGAAACGAAGTGGTAGAGCACGTTGACCACTTCACTTATTTGGGAAGTACCATCAGCCAACGCCAACGGGTTGATC